GTATATAAGAATACAGAACATCTTTGCGACTACGCTTGTCTCTGATCCATGTGAAGAAAAATTTTTAGTGTGGGACCTGTTTGTTGGACTGTGCAACTGCAACCGTTTCAAGGAGACTGCAACAATGGTGGAGACAATCCTCCACAGTCTGGTTGAGACAATCCTCCGCAGTTTTGGAAACGAGAAACGCGCAAATTACAACGGCGACAAAAACGCCTGCAACGAATGAAGACGACATCGTCAGCAACAACAAATCACCAACAGCTCCATGACAGATTCCAACTGCACTGTGACGTGACATCGTCAAGACAATACTCTGCCTCTCTGTTTGCTCACGTGTATTTTCTCGCTTTCAGAAGCCGTTTAATGTCAGCACACAATTTTTTGCGTATGTATGTGCTAATGCGTTGTTTTTATGCCTGAGCGTATGTCTCTCTCTCTCTTTTTCTCTCTCTTTCTCACTGTGGTAATATTTTGTGTGTGCATGTAGGTTTGCGAGGATGTTTAGTCTGCGAGCGTATTTTATTTAGATATATTTTTAAACGAGTGTGTGTTATTGAGCGAATTATTTATGTGTGTTTGCATGTGTGTGAGTACGTGTGTGTGTGTGTTTTTGTATGTTTGTGTGTGTGTGTTTGTATGTTTGTGTGTGTGTCTTTGTATGTGTGTGTGTGATTGTTTGTGTGTGTGAGAGAGAGAGAGAGAAAAAGTGAGAGGATTTGAGTGCGTGATTATTTATACAATCGATTTTTACAATCATGGTGACAACATCATTTCAAAATTAACACCGTATAAATGGTGGAGTTTATTGTTTATGGTGATCACTTGTCATCATCATTCTGGCATCTACTATCACCACATATCATCTTTATCGTCATTACCATCATCATCGTTATGACGGTGCAATGCCACTACAATCATAACGACGACGACGATGATGATAATTATATTTTCTTATTTTAGATTATTATACATAATTAAAGTCAAACATTGAATGAAATTTGATACAAAAACGCAATAGATATACTGCTGTAGGAGTTTTAAACTAACGTAAGAAGTTCAATGACATTGAGATGATATTATAAAATGGAAAATGATTATAAATTGATATTATGAAATAATGAAATAATAACACATACAAACACACACACACACACACGCACGCACATTATGGAATGCAATGATGTAAATAATAATGAAACGATAAAAATGAGATAATGATATGATGATATAAGTGAAATATCTCTTTGATTGATTGCTTGTTTGTAGTCTTTGATTTTTAGTTTGCCGACTTTAGCAGTTTTTTATTTACACTAGAGGCAGATAACTGACTGGTCAGTGCGGAAGTTGATGGCTTGGTTGATGATGGTGACGAAGACGACGACGATGATGCTGATAGAGACGAAGATGGTAGAGTTATGAATGACTATGATGGAATGAAGAATAACGATTTTACACTCTATCCTAACATTTCAGATGATGACGAAGATGATGAGGAAGATGAGGACGTTGATGATGTCATCACAAAAATAGGTTTTATTAATGTTATAATGATAAGTGACCTACATAATTCATGTATCAAAGTTTGATGACGTTGATGATGACATCACAACCTATTGTGATAAAAAGAAAACAAACAGCAGATCAAAATGATGGTCAGTGAATTTATTATATTTGTGTAAAATTAAATAATTGATAAACAAATCAATTAAAGTAAAATAAGTAATTGATTGGTATTAATTATTTCCTTGATTTAAACAATGATTTTAATTATTTAACACCCGCTAGAGCTCCGAAAAAATTTAATTTCAACTTCGGTCTTCTTTTAAAACTGACATTTTGTAAACAGTTTTTTAAATTTAAGTTTTTGCCAAAAATTTTGAGTCAAATATAACTTCAAAAGGTTTTTTTTGAAATATTGTTAGGGAATTGTTATTTCCAATTTTTTTATTTTATTTTTTAATTGCTTAAACACATTTTTGTTGCAAAGTATTGTTGATTTTTCTTCCCTGCTACTTCTCTCAATCAAACTTGCTAACTACAAGTAACTAAAAAAAATGTAATAAAACTAACTCCATTCCCTAACTTAACTAGCTTCTCTATCTGAACTAAGTTTATCTTGTCATAATTTATTAATTCAATTCAGTTGTAGATACTTCTCTTTTTTTTCAATTTCTAACCAACACATCCCTTTTTCATAAACAAAAATAAATTTTAAATTACATATTAAAATCTTTTATTATATAATATAATTTAATATATAAATTATGAATATAATGTATTATATTATAATACTAACAACAGCTACTAACACCATCTACCATCATTTCATTTCCATATTAGCAGACTATCTGCAGACAGTGAAAGAATAAAAGGACCGTGTGGAATCAACTTAACTGAATAGAATAAAAATGGTTGTTTGTTAAGACTAAGAGGGACATGGATGTGTTATTATACTATAGCCTGTTAATTCCATGCACTCTACCCGTCGTCATCTTCTTCATCATTCTCATGTGGCTAGGAAGGATGCTTTTCACCAACAATTGATCTCAACTTTTTCGTAATTTGTTTAAATTTTGAATTTCTTCTTTGTGGATGTTTTATTTTCATTTGTTTTTCAAATCTTAAGTTAAACTAAGATAATAAAATATATAGAATCATTAAAGTTTAATGATTCTATGCATTTTATTATCTTAGTTTTTTTCTATATTGAACAAGTTGCCTAAAATTTGTCCATTTTATATTTATTGTCCTTTCACTATTATTTATAATTATTAAAATTACTATTAATTTTTTATTTATTTATAGATCGACCATTGGTTCAGTTCTGCTAGTATGAGATCAAAATTCTGCCAGAAAGACAACCTACATTTGGGATTCATTCTTCTGGAGCAACTGGAGTTGCTTTTTTATTTGCTAACCATATATGAAGTGGTGGGTGTTGTTATATGTGTCTCTTTGGATATTATATGCATGTATATAATATGCAAATTCTGGTGGAAGACCAAATTCTTAAAAATGTTTAATGAACTCCACCGATTTATTAGTGCTGAACTACGTTTAACATCTACATAATATGTAATAATGTATATGAGTGAAACGTGTCAGTATATAGGTATTACTAACCTCATAATTAGCTTTCAACTTTTCTCCTGTTTGCTTACTTCAAAGAATTTACAACAAAACCGTTATTCAGAAAACTTTTTAAAACCGTTTCGTTAATTTTTTTTTCTTTAACTGAATCATCTTCAATATAAAATTTCATCTCATGAACAAACTTAGAATGAGATTTGATATAAAAACATATTTAAATAATGGGGCAGGTTTTGGGATTTTGTCAAAGTTATCACTCGTTTATGTAAATGTCAAATGTTTCACTGATATGCGACAGCTTTTTTTTTCCATGTTTTTAGGAAAAATTTTTGTTAAAACTTCAATTCATTTTTTGTCTATTATTTTCAACCAAAATTTATAAATGGTGTATCATGTGTAGGATATAGATACAGATAATGAAATAATTAAACAACAAAAAGTTCGCAGATAACGTGGTTGACTTGTTTATATTCCTCTGTACCTCTCATTAAACTACTGATTTGACAAATCAACATTTTTCAATTTTATCTAGCTAAATTTGCACATACACACACACACACACACACCCACTAAATTCGCACATACACACACACACACACCCACTAAATTTGCACATACACACCACACACACACACACACACACACACAATGTATGTTTAATATTGGAGTGTTTTATGAATAAAAGTTATGAGTTGATGTAATAAGCGATAACATTTGTTGTTTTTGTTTCATTTAATCACGTTAGTGTCAGTTTCGGATAGTCAGCTAAGGAAATCTAATGTCTGAATAAAACTAAGTCAACTAAGAAAATCTTATGCCTAATGTAAAGAAATTTTTCTTGAAAACGTTCCAAAGTTTTTTTTCGTATGTGTTAACCACTCGACACGATCAATGCGGATGTAGAGTTGTTAATGATGTTTGAAGATGAGTGTTTAATCAGTGACTTCAATTATTTCCAAACGCTTCACGCAACTCACTAACGAAATATTAAAAACCGGTTTTGTATTTTCACATTGCTTTTTTTCTATTTAACAGTCTTTTTTTTGCCAAGACTGTTAAATAGTTATCGAATCGTAAATTTTTTAATGTTCATTAGTAAGTTCACTTTTAAGGTTGGAATTCTTTTCACCATTTGGCAGCGACGAGTGGACAGAAAGTGCAAGTCATGGAGAGCTTGTTATTCACGCTGGAGCATTCATTGCAGACCCAGGAAAGGCATTTCTTGCAAACCAGTGGCGAGTTGGTGGGCGGCTGTTGGTTCATGTAGAAACAATGCATGCACTTCCAGACGTTTGTTGTTGATGACGGCGAACCCGTTGACCCTGGCGAGGGAGTTAGTATTTTCAATTTGTTTTCGATCGATGATGTGGGCTTAACGTTGAATGGTGGAGGTATGATTAACTTTGCTTGTGCTGGAACGTACTGCGTTGATGTAGATTTGTAGGATGATGATGGTAAAGATGATGATAACAGTGATGAAGATAGTGAGGCATTTAATTGCTGTGACGACGAATTGAATGCATCACTCGAAGATGCGTTGTCGAAGGAAAAGCCAACAATTTTAAATCCTTCCTTTCCGTCGTTTATTAGATCCATGAACATACGGCTGTTGGTGTTGCCATTATCTCGTCGGTGGCTCACATTATTTCTTTTAACGATGTTGCTGCCGTTGTCGTTGTTTCGGTTGGGAACGCTACTATGGATGCCACTGATGTTATTGCTGCTGTCGTTGTTAGGTGTCGTTGTATAGTCACCAATGAAAAGACTGGAATTTAAATATTCGAGAAAATCATTTGACTGATCAGACTGCATGATACTTCTGACGAGTTCTCCAGTTTTCAAGTGGCAGCACGTGCACTTGTCCTCGTTCCACACGTTGATCTGTTTGCAGTAGAAGCATCGCCATGTTTCTGACAATGAGGGTTCTTTTTTTTCTGACAATAAGGGTTCTCTTTTTTCTGACAATAAGGGTTCTCTTTTTTCTGACAATAAGGGTTCTCTTTTTTCTGACAATAAGGGTTCTCTTTTTTCTGACAATAAGGGTTCTCTTTTTTCTGACAATAAGGGTTCTCTTTTTTCTGACAATAAGGGTTCTCTTTTTTCTTCCGTGGTTTTGTTCAGCGGTTTTGAAGTAGTTGCTTTTAGTGAAAAATTTGTTGCAGTTTTTGGTGACGATGGGTTTGTTTTGCGTTGAGATAACGGAGCGCTCACTTTAGTCGTATTTTTTGGGTTCGATATCTTGTGCGATTTGTTTGAAGTTGAGTTCAAAAAAGGTGCTTGCCTTTGTGCAAGACTTTGTGGTTTGGGAGGCGGAGGTCTCACTGGAGGTTTAGGTTTGGTGGTAGGTGCGTTTGAAGCTGTCGTTGTCGGTGTTGAGGTTGGATTTACTGTTGTTGATGTTTCAGGATTGGTCAACATGCGCTTTTTTATTTGCTCCTGGATATCTTCAATGAAATCTGGTTTGAATTGTTGCTGGTCGGTCAAGTTGTTTCGATTGCTTTCCGAGGGCTCCAAGTGTGTATGAATGTTTACCAGATGAAGTTCTTCATTTTGATTATTACCATGAACAAATGTTGTTTCATTTCTACATGCTTGTTTTGTTTTTGTGCGGGGTTCAGTTTCATTGTCAAGTTCTTCAACAGAAGGAAGTTGGTGACTTGTTTGTACTTCCTGTTTTAGTTGTTCTTGTAAATGTTGTTGTTGCTGTTGTTGAGTTTTTAGCAGCATCACTTGTTTTACCAGAAGGTCGATTTGCTCTTGTTGTAATATAATCTGTTGCTGCTGCTCATTATATTTTTCAACGTTTTTGCTCGCTTTCGTGTTAGGAAAGAAGAATGTTCTCAGCCTGCTGGCAACATTATTGTTGTTCTTTCTCGCCTGTGCCATCCTGTTACTACCCGGCTCTGACAGGGTTGCATTAAGACACTGAGCTGGTCTCACCTCTACTGAACTGGCAATGTTGCTTGTAGCTGCTTGTATCTGTCGAGGTAGCGGGTTTGGTTGGCTCTGTGGCTGTTTTAGTTGACAATGGTCTCTGATAATGAGATATCCAAATTCATCAAATTCGCCATCGCATGATTCTCTATTGTGGCTAGGATTGTTGTTGTTGTTGCTGTTGGTTAGATTGTTGTTGTTGAACATGTTGTTGTTGAACATGTTGTTGTTAGATGAGTTGTTGTTGTTGGTTATGTTTCTAGTTGCGTCAAAAGTTCTACTGCCGTTATTTATACGATTCATGCCGAAAGTCAGTGTTGTGCTCGGTCGAAGTTTAAGAAATATGTTGAATTTATAAGAATGAGAATGACGATATAGCTGTTATAAGATGAAGTTATTACGATGACGTTGTGATGATATAATAATCTAGGTATGCACGTGATTTGATCATATGAAGGTTTATGTTCTCGTGACACATAAAGTCCATTGCCGATGAAAGGAAAATTTAACGCCTGAATGGGTTATCATAGCAGATGACTGAGTTGAATTGAAATGAACAGCTCATAGAAGGAGATGTCTCATCTACTAATTTTGGCCAACGTAAGCTTTCATCTGGACTGAATTCAGTGTAAATATGTATTCGTTTATTATGTTAATAGAGTTGATGAAATAACGATAAGCTAATTTCGAGTTGGTTGAAGATTATCCCAATTAATTAAATATAGAAATTAATATTCAGTAATACTTAAAATTTCAGTTTATTAGTATAGGTCAGTTTTTGAAATAATATTCAATTATCGCAATCGATGAAAATAACTAGAATTTTTTCGGTAAAAATTGCCGTTTAATTAAAACAATTTTACTCGTTGAAAATTGAAAAAAATTATTTACCTGTACTGCCAACATGACAAGACTGTACGAAGAACAATGGTTTGTAAACAAACTATTAAGGAAGTATAAACTAAGCAGCAGATAGTGATCTTTGTTAATAATCACTCTGATATTCGTCCCTTTTAGAGCAATACCGCTAAGTTAATCAAAAATTTCGTGGAAAAGTTTCATAATCTCCTGAATGAACAAATTTTCTGGTTATTTCATATGTGAATAAAATTTCTTACTCATTAGAAAATGTACGTAAATATTTTTATAAAAAAAAATCGGAAATCGTTCATCGTCGTCGTCGTTGTCATGATTCTTGCTAAAATTAAACGCCTTATTTGAAAGTTTATATATATCTATATAAATATTAATATATATATATTATATTAATATATATTTTCATACTAATAGTATATTGTGTATATTTACATATTATATAATTATACACTGCATAACAGCTTGTAGAATTAAATAAAGGCTGTTGCAGCGAGCATAACAATGCCATCGCTACCTGTAATTAGCATGAACGTTTAAAGAGTCCAACAGTGAAGACAACATGTAACTACGTGTAGTACTCGTGTTAATGACTCACTTTTTGTTTGCGATTAATTAATTAATTAATTGCTTTTTCCAGTTGTTCGGTTTTTTCCAACCTGTTGATTCAAATACGATTTGTCTCACGAATTGTAAAATTAATTTTTACCTCAGTTGTTTTTTCAACCCGGTTCATCAACCGTTTAACTATCCAGTAACTTATATGGTCATTTTTTCTTTCTGGCATTCGTCCATCCCTTTTTTATGTTCCTTTCTTAATCCGTTAACCTTTCATTCTTTGAATTAAACCATTCTCTTCATTTATATGATAACTTATTTGTTTTCTTATTTATATGCAAGCATTTAACACTTCGGCTTGCCCACATGTACATTAGAATTAGTTAACATGCTTCATGAAACATCAATCTACACTTTCTTGCAATAATAAATAATAAATGTAGAAAAACTATGAAATTTCGTAAAGTCAAACACGTGAAAAGTGAAATTACATAAATCTTATCAATTTCATTATTATCTTTATTAATATTTATTATTATTATTTATTATTATTATTAAGGAAAAAACGTTTAGCCAAATAGCTCCTTGTTCAAACTAAAACGAAGCACCAATAAAAATGTACAACGTAGAAAATAAAATTACATAAAAAAATTACATAAATAAAAAGCAGTTCACTTTAGCAACAAGTATGATATCTAATTCATTATTCATTAGTCCTTTTGAGGTAATCTTAAAAAGGTGTGCAATGTGCAGGTTTTGCAAATGTGCACATTGTGATAGTTTTTACATTATCTTAAAATGGTAGTATCTTTTCGTATGCAAATTTAGTAAATTTTGTATAAATAATGTTTAACTTTAATAACCTTTGGTCATGTGCTCGTCACTAAATTTATTTAAATTTGAAGCAAAATATTAATTGTGCAGAAATTAATTGGTAAAAATCTATTTTTTCCACACATTCGGGCTCGAGTTGGGGTCGCATAATAATTGTTTTAAAAGTTTGAAATGTAATTGCGCAGCAACTGAAATTGAATCGAACTTTCGATAATCGTACTTACCATCACCATTAATGACGTACTCAGTCTCTTTAAGTCTAATCCAATTATGTTTGGTCAAAGTGATTCAAATTAATCATTTGTTTATTTTTATTGAAAACGTAAAGAATTTCAGTTACAAATTGCAAAATTTTAAAGTGGTGACGGATCTGGAAAAACTCGTATCCGTTGTTTTACTTTTCCCAGTTTCATCAGCCCTTCATTCATCCAAGAATCAAGATTGTTTATTTCTTCTTCCGTGTCTTTCATATCGAAAGTTAGAAGTAACATATTTTCTTCTTTCATATTTTTATAATCTACTCGCAGCTTTTTGTGAAAAGATTCGTGCAATGGTTTCGATGTTAACATTGGTGTCGATGTTCTTGGGATTGGGTTGGCTGCGAGTGGAGGTAGTGAATATGAATCACCATAATCATCGTTGTAAACATCCTGATTGTCATCATTAACAATTTTATCATCATCTTCGTCAGCACTTTTTTCTGGCCATTATAAACAGAATCTTCCGCTTCAACACTTTGGTAGCCATCTATATCTTTGTCGTATGAATTTTTTTATCACTTTTGTAAAATGAAGGCAAAAATGATTCCAGCATGCTGACGGAGACCAATGAAGGTGAGGTGATAGAGGAGGAAGGCGACCAAATGGAGGTCAGCATCCCTGTGGATGTCATCGAACTTCCATTCTGTTGAACATTTTCCTGCGATGGTGATGTCGATGAAAATGATGAACTCATTTCTGTCATTTTTTTACAAGAATAATGGTAAATAACGATGAAACAACGTTAGTTTATTTAAGTCTACGATTTTACTCGACATTCAAAATTATATTTAACATTAATGAAACTCCTCCCTATTGATACTATTCCAAATTTTGTAAACAAAGTTATTTACTTTACTGTACAATCACTGCTTTATGTATGCAATTAAGAGTTATCGATTGTTGGAATCGATAAAGTTGAGTTGAGTTAATTGTTTTAGGTTAATTTCCATCTTACTTATTGGTTTCATACATTCCTAAGGTAAGGTACTTTTTCTTTTTAAGATTACTTTCAATGTTATAATTTGTTTAGAATTTTACATAAAACTGTTAGCCGTTAAGTTATCAAATTAACATAACGATTGGCAAAGTGGTTTTAATGCATCTAGCTGTTCGGTTGTTGCAAAGTTTGTTGTTAACCATCTTTGTTTGACCGTGCACACTCTATCGAATAGTCGTGTTGAATTTTTTGCCTGAACATTTGAGTAACATCACAAACAACCCAGGTTACATTTTCTAAAAAATTTTAAGATATTTTTTTTTGAAAAGGGGAGTCTAAAATTTTCAATCCTTGGCCTTATCTTGTTGATATCGAAATATTTGAAAATATTTGAAGTAGTTATAGGTTAGACATAGTTGCCAACCGTCCCGAATTGGGCGGGACAGTCCCGTTGGCACGTATGGGTTATCAAGTGCACATTTGCAGCCAACTTTCAAATAAAAGTTTTTCTTTTTCATCTGGCCGAATTTGTTAAACGTTATTCGGTGATAAGGTGTATGGATTAATGAAAAAACTTGAACAAATAAATCACGACAGAATAATCGCTATTTATAAGCAACAATTAGAAAAGTTAATGTCTAAACATGACGACTCCATTATTAAAAAAATATTAATTAACACTGGCTAGTTGGTCGTTTACGTGAGAGTTTGCACTTTAGATGTTGTTGTTGTTATTGATGTCGAAATACCTACCGGACCATACCTTTTTTATGTTTTTTCTAAAGTATGCGATATTGCTGTTGCCTGAGTTACTACAGTTGTCTCCTTTGTCGCTGCTTAAGATTATAAGACAGATGATGCATATAGGGTATTGATGGGCAATGATCGATAGACATTTGTTGCAGACCCAACATTTGCATTTGTAGCAAATCAAAGTTTGTGATGACGATAACGATGATACTAATGATGGCATGGAAGATGAAGATTTGGAGGGTAAGTTACAGACGGGACACGACCATACTGGAGGTGGCGGCTGTGGTGGAGTTGGTTTTATGGTGGACCTCGGTGGAATGGGAGGTGCTGATGAACATGGATAGTTGGCATGTAATAGAGACATAGATGAAGAATGAAAAATAGGAGGTGGGGGTAAGGTCCTTGTTGTTGGGATCTGGAAATTTTCGTACTTATGCGGATGGTGTTTTAATTGTTGTTGAAGTTTATGTTGCAGCTGCGGCTGTTGTGGTGGTGGTTATGGCTGTTGTGGTAGTGGTCGTGGCTTTCTTTTTTTATGATGTTGGTCCAGCTCTGGATTTTGTTTTTGCTGAGCTGGACCTGGTGGTTGATTGAAATATGGCAACTGGTCAGGGTCAGTGAAGGGGTTATCATCTGCATTTCTGTAAATAATTTCATATTCACAGAACATCTTTGACGATGACATTGCTTTTGAATTTAGTGATGAACTTTCCGGAAATACTGATGACGAATCTTGGAAAGAATTACTTTGTGAACTAATTATAGGAAAGATTAATGATTGTGTTTGTGTCGATGATGACGTAAGCTCTGGTTTTGGTGATGGTGATAATGGTTGCATGCTCCTGCCATCGTTGCTGCTAATGTTTCTGTTGTTGTTGTTGTTGATTTTATTGTCGGTTGTGCCTGTGTTGACGACTTTGTTGTTGTTCATGTTATTTGGGCCAAAATTAATTTGATTGTTGTTTTTGTTGTTGATGGCATTTTTGCAGCCGCTATTTGCGTAACCTGGTCTACTTTTGATAATTTTCTCGCTGTTCGTTTTGCTTTTGTCTGCGAGTACGTTCCCACGATTTTCGCCATGAAAATCTACCTGGATTATTTTATTTATTTTTTCTTTGTTATTATCACTATAAAATTATTATAAATTTTTCAAAATTTTGAGATTCATTGTTTTTGCTGCTGCTACTAGTGTCTTTGTGACTACTACTAGCGTCTTTGAGGCCACCACTGGTGTCTTTGTGGCTGCAATTATCCGCATATATAAAAAGTTCTTTTGCTTCTACGTTAGATGTTGACAGAGCACTGTTTGAAAAATTTTTGTTTATTGCTATTGCTCCAGGTTTATCATTGTTTAAATTTTTATTTTCGGTGCTGCTTTGATTGTTTGTAGAGTGTTTTTGCTTTTGAATGCATTTGCGATTCTCATCGTTAGTGGGGCCAGTGTTGCTCAACTGATTTGTAAAATTTTTATTGAAAGCTTTAATTTCATTGAAATGTACGGATGCGATTTCAACAACTTTTCCACTTTCTTGTTTACAGCAGACACATTTATCATCAACCGACATATTCTTGTTTCCACACATATAACAAAACCAACTTGATTGGTCCTGCGCATCTGCTGCTGCTGGGGTTGGGGTGAGGTTTGGATTTTTTGTATTAACTAATAATGAACAAGTTTGCTGGCGGGAATATTTATGCGTGTCAAAATGACCCTGGAATCCTTTGTTCTGTTCGTTTTGTTTTTGAAAAAAAATTTTTCCTCCTTGTTTTTCCTCTTTTTTATTTTCAAAAAAATTTTGTTGCCTTGCTTGCCGATCATGTGATTGGTTTTGTAGAAATGTTTCAGATGAGGAGGGGTGAGTGCAAGGGCCAGGAAAAGAAATAAGGGAAGAAGAAGAAGACGAGGAAGAAGTGGAATCTTTGCTTCTTATTAGAGGTTTAGGTTTGACCTTTAGACCAACTTTTGGATTTGCATTTTGGTGTTTTTCATCTGTTTTTTCAGAAATTTTTTCCACAACGCCAAATTGCGTTGTTTTTCCAACATTTAAATTTCTTAGCAGCACAGTTGTCACATCTTCTTGGTAACCTAGTTGTTGCATTTTTAGAAAAAATTCTTCCAACAAAAATTCCAATTGAAGTTGGCGATCTCCTTCTTGAAATTGTTGATTTTTAGGTGGCTCCAGGTCAGTGTCACGAAAGGGCCAGCATCGTCGCAACTTTCAGTGCCACTTTCGCCATTGCAATCATCGTCCATTTTGTTCATAACGCCGCTTCAAATCGCAACAAATTCAAACCAACAAATTTTAAAAATTTATAACTTTTTTGTAATCAAATATTTAAAATTTTAAACAAGGTCATATTTGGTCATATATAATTTTCTCTGCAACTTCATTTGTCTTTTCAAACTGTTATAGTTGTTTCACTCAACATTTCTTCAAATCCATAACTGAGAGCAATGCCTACAGATGATATGACCCAACCACCCAACCACAAAATTTATTTTTAAGTTGTTTGCGAATGAAGATCTATTTGAAATGGTACACTTCACTCAGGAAGCTACAACCGAATCAAATTGTAAACAACGGCTTTTATAAAATATCGTACCCTATCAATACAGCTGACTAGACCTTCTAGCTACATAACATAATTAAATAACTTATAATATATATTATATAATATATATCTATATATATATATATATATAATATAATATATATTAGATGACTTCCTAGTTTAATGTGTTTTATGAACGCCTGTGAGCTCTCTTCTAAACTTCCATTTTAACGTAAATTCTACAGTGGTTTTAACGCAGAGACGTAGACGTACAATTTAAGTTGAAATATTGTAAGTTATAATAACGGAATAATTGATGAAAAAAATGGACTATGCACATACAAACTTTAAAATGAAAAGATTCTAACAATTAGCAGAGACAAGATTATGAATAAAAATTTAAGTCTGTAAATTTTAACAGGAATACAAAAATAACTAAAACATTACAATTTTCATCATTTTGTCATCTCAACGTAGCGGTCAAACGTAAAACTTTTAGTAAAAATTTAAAGCAGGCTTTTCTATTGGTAAAATAATCATTTGACGGCGGAAATAAATATTCAAATATTGAAAAAAAAAATATGTTGATGCCATTTCAATTGGGATATTGAATTTGTTTCAATATTTCACTAATAAAATTTTAGTTTTTTCAAACAACGGTTCAAAAATGTTTTTTTCAACATGTAAAAATGTGAAGGAATGCATGTATTAAAGCCTAGAGTTTCATAAAGATTGGCAGTTGTTGGGTAAACGACGCAACAACAAATTCTCAACCATTCATTCATCAAACATTCAATGAAAATTCTGTAATCCTGGAATGTCTGCTATGTGCCAGTGCGCGTTAAGCGTCACAATCGGAGCGAGCATTTTTGTAAGATTTTTCACTAAATTTTTATTATTCGTTTCCATTTTTGTTTATTGCTTCATGAATTTCTTCTTGATTTTTTGTTTTTGTCATGTTGTTGTTGTCGTCGTCGTCGTTGTTGTTGTATTTGCTAATGTTGTTGTTAATGTTGTGTTTTTGTACTTGCTAATGATATTTTGATCAGCGATCATCCGACAATGAACGAAAACAACTCAATTGAACGTTGCGTGACGAGTGCAAGAACAATTGCTCCACATTCCTCAAATATCTATCTCACCCATGCTATTTTACATTTCCAAAGTTTGGACTGTTCACGAGCGAGGTCTTTTTTATATAGTTTTTTGTTTTTGATCTTTTAAAAAATCATCACGTCACTTTTTTAAAAATGGCCTCAATAAAGTTACGTCATGTTTCATTGTTTTCATTATCATTATCATAATTGTCATCGTCTCCATCTTAACCTTCATCATCTTCGTCCCATCGTATTCGTCGTCGTCTTCATTTTCCTCTACAACTGTGTTTATCATCCTTCAAACATATTTATTCATCATCACTTGAAGAACTTCAAATTTCTGAATGAAGAACATGGCACTACGCTTCGTACGTACATGCAAAACAACACACAACGCAATACAACGCACCGCCTATCATTCTTCAACATTGAACTTGCTTGCTTGTGCCTAAATGCTGCTCGAAAGATAATAGTGATGACGAAGACGACGACGACGGTGATGATGATGGTGGTGATGATGATGGTGATGATGGTGGTAGTGATGATGATGGTGATGATGATGGTGATGGTGACGAAGAGGATGATGATGGTGATAACGGTGATGATGAATGATGGCAATGAGGATGTTGATGGAGGAGAGAGAATGGAGACAATGAAGATGATAACAAAGAAAAGATGATGGGGATTGCGAAATGATAATGATGATGATGATGATTAAAGAGATGAATAAAATGATTTGACGAGATAATATACATCAAAATGTCGACAAGTTCTTAAAAACGAATGTAAACTCTGTAAACGTATACAAATTAAATGGATCTATTCATTCACATTCATTCATACATTCACTGGAGACATGTGGTTCAATAAATTCAATGAAATTTATTTAAATGTCAATCTTGAATGCCAAAAAATTATAAAAAAACACAATGAATATGTGTAAAGATGAAGGAACAAGTATAATAAATAACATACACTTTTATTTATTTTCTTGTGTGTGTTAATAAATGTCTGTGTATGTATGTGTATTTGTGTGTTTATTTGTGTGTGTGTATGTATGTGTATTTGTGTGTAGGTATGTGTTTATGTATTTGTATTGTGTTTATGTATGTGTACATGTGTGTCTGCGTATGTATGTGTACGTCCTAAAAGCCATCCAATTACACAAACATGCATTCATACATGCATAGTGCACAAACAAACAAGCGTTGCATTGCACGGAGGTGAAGGTGATAAGGGATGATATGGATGTTTGCCTATAAAAGTCAGGCATCTTATATTTTCCAAGTGGAGTTAACTTTAAACATTTCGAACTGCTATTTTCAGTATTGAGAATTTTGACTTGGTACGATATTTTTCTAGAAAAGGAAAATAATTTCTTCTTTTTTCGAAGTTTCAAGGTAGAAACGTTAAATTGTAGATGAGAGAAACTGTCAAATATTTTTACTATAAATCTGGCATTGATTTTGATTACATTTTTCAAAAAAAAAACTGAAAAAAGCTGAAAATTTTAAAATTTGGTTGTTGAAAGGCATAAATTATTCTGCAAAAAATTTCTAGTTTTTCGATTTCAGGTAGGTCTTGGTTTAAATATTCGTTTATCTGTTTATAATTTAAACATTCAACTTGTATTTTTTATTTCTTTGAGTTAGTTGAATTTTTGACCATCCCTTTATAAATTGGTTTTGTTTATTCATACGTTCATATTTGTTAGTTCATCTATTCATTCATCTATTCATTCATCTATTCATTTGTTTGTTTATTCTTCAATCATTCTTTTTTCTAGTTCTGAAAATAGAGCTATAAATACATATAGCAGGCCAATTATCATTAATTTATCGTGGCATGCGTAGGACGATGTAGGGTGAAATCTTTTCGAAGTTTATTAATGAACCAAAAACCCTTATTTGCGTTATATTATTTTTAAATTTGAAGTTCTGAAAAAAATTCTACTAAAACATCTCAGCAATATCACAGAAACCTAAATTGCACAGTTAAGCTTTAAAAAAATGCTACTACTTCCAATATTTTGCTAATGTTATAATGTACAAATTTGCAACTGATCTGAATCCATTGTTCAGTCGTTCGCTGCCCGACTTTGTAATGTTTTAAATGAGTATTTGAGTGTTTCTTAGGTATCATTTGCATTATCACATTCAATTCATTGTGTGATAAGTTTACGGCAATGCTTGGCTCTAGAGTCTTAAAACCTTTTATAACGTTATGATTATTTGATGAGATTTATCAATTTATAAAAATACAATCAAATGAAAAATAAGTTAAGGTAGAAGTGTTCTAGCAATGAAATTTCATTTCTACATTAGAATATCGCTTTGTGGTTAAAATTTTCATGTTCCAAAATAGTAATTTTTAAAAATCTTTACTTTAAGCACTTTGCTAGATTTGGTAAGATTCAAGAGAAGGCAGGCTGCACTAAGGTCTTCACAAAAGAAAGAGGTTTTCATAAAGTGTCCAAATTAAGACAGCCCTTCTCGCCTGCCTAGTTTTCAAATCCAGCCCTAAGTGTTATACCATTTTAAACAATGCTTACCCCCACTTGAAAACTCCCAAAACTCCAAACATGGCGAATAATTTAAATGAATATTTCATTTAATTATTTAAGAAAATGTATAATTTTGTTAAGCAATGTACGCACTTACATTTAGGCATAGCTATCTTTAATGATATTTTTTATTTATAGCACTACGACAATTATGATTTTCTTTATAATTCAAGCAGAGAAAACAACATAACTTATAAATCACTCGGTTAAAAAGACCACAACAATTTTTTTTAGAAATACCAAAGTGTTTCGTGTTATTATTCATTATTATTATTATTATTATTATTATTATTATTATTATTATTATTACTGCCTCAAAATAATTTTTATGAATGTTTACGAGCCGTTGAAGCAACAACAACAACAACGGTCTAAGTGTAAGTATGACTATATAAGTATTATTATTGTTATTATTATTATTTTCCTAAGTCACTTTTGCTAGGGGGTCCAGTGGATGCCTGAGGTGTAGGATTTTAGTTCCCCGTCGTTCGAAACCTTCGAAGTATGTGGGCAATGCCTAGTAGAGCTGTCTTCTGCACTTGTGCAACACTCTCTTTTTTTCCATGTTCCCAATGCGCCAACTACTAATGGGACTACTATTGGGATCGCGCGTGTTTTTTTGTGTTCCACATGCGTGAAATCTCCATCTCAAGGTCTTCATATTTGCTTAGTTTTTCAACTTCCTTTTGTAGGAACATTCGTATCGTTCGTGTGAGCAACATCGATAAGGAAGCAATTTTTGTTACTTCTATTCTATTATAATAATAATAATTATTATTATTACTATTATTGTTATTATTATTGTTGTTATTATTATTATTAAAGATTTTTGTAGTAATTTTATCAGTTGTACGTAGCATTATTAGAATTAAAACAGAAGTCTTGCATACAAGGATTTCAAAAAAAATTAAATTATAATCTATCTTCATTGGTATTGGGTGTTAGTAGTCTAAATCGGACGTGAACTTGTAATAGTTTAATGGTTTTACTGTAATGTAAGATCATAAAACATTTAACAGTTAAATTTTTTTATCGTTAAAACATTTTACTAAAAAATTTTCTACTCAACTTAATACCTAAAAATCATTCCATTTGTTATTAGATTCTACTTCATTGAGTGTAGGTAGATTTTCAAAGGTAGAAACATATTTTTATTAGGTCTCATATTTTTCCATTTCCACATACACCTGTCCAGTATCAATAGCATTATCTTTGATATCTTAGATCATCTAGATCATCTTAGATTTTGTTGTTGTTTTTTGAGAGTACAAGTCACATAGGATATGTTTGGTGGTAGATGATGGCTTTGTGGTATTCAAATGCTTATTTTTAAGATCCGCGTTTAAACTAGCACTTGTGTGTTTTGCTTGTGATTCTGTAAATGTGAAATAGTGAATTCTGTTTAAAAGTAATCATTTAAAATCAAATATTGAGATTTTAAGCAAAATTCTTATTGGTGAAATTCATTTGCTTGATTGTGTGTTGTATGTATAATACTTGATTTGATCGCATGTCTGTTTTATATGTGCAGTTCAATTTCCATTATAAAAATTTAGAAAAAACTTTTAATACATTAAATTATAACAATTATAGATAATATTTTGGCAAACAATTTTTCTTTAGATATATTTAAGATATCTGATTAACTAATTTATGGTTTTTTGGTTTTTTTTACTCATTTCGTCCTAAGTTTATTAATAGCGTTCACTCAATCACGTATTCAAAATACCCAGTCTTGATGTCTTTTCATGGTTATACATGTATGTAGTTATTTACGAACGCTTTAAATAAAAGTATCATCTGACATATTTAATTTATGAGAGAGAGAGAGAGAGAGAGAGAGAGAGAGAGAGAGAGAAAGAGGTAGTGCAATTATTTTTAGTTCTTGTTGTTGTTGTAAGGCACGATGAATGTAGTAAAGAACTGCGTTTCACCAAATTAAAATTTCACGTTTGCGAGCTTTTGTTTCGCAGTCGTTTCAGCACTACCATTATTGATTTTCTGCTATTCAATAATCAGAGCTATCATCAACAACAACAACATACGTGAATACGCTTTAAAACGTCACCAAAATTGAGTATGACAAACGAGGATCTTCTTGCATTCAAACCCAGTCAATGTAACACAGAAAGACCAGGCGTCTCTACCATTACACCACCACCATAGTTGTTGAACATTTTTATAGTTGTTATTATATTTGAAGTTATTATTATTATTATTATTATTGATGTTATTAAATAAATAAGAAATGAACGAGAATGCGATGCTTTTAGCACTCTCCCACTTGATGATTTGTGATTGCGAGATAACTTATCAGCTGAAGAAGCAGTTAATAAAATGAAACGTTGTTTATAGCGAACGCGTGCAAAGTATTTTATTTAATGCAATGGCGTGCGATGGTATGACTTGATCGGCTGTAAAACGCGAGGTAGGTGCAAAGGATATAAAAATAAATAAAAATAAATAAATACGATTACAAAGATTGCATAGTAGTGTTACATCAGAGCTAAACGTACAATAAATTATTTGTACATATCTGCTCGTATTTCTATCTCCATCTCTTCCATTCCATTCCATACTTTTTAACAAATTGATGTGTTAACGATTTTTTTCTCCGATATTATTTTGCCAGATTAGTCGGAGAATTTCCAAAATGAACGATGAGCGATTCCTAATAAATACTCAATATATCATTAATGATAAATGCTCACGTGCAGTTGCTTCTACGTAATTTATAATAGATATCATTGATTAATTGCATAAGGCGTTATTACAAAATTTCATTTTTTTTTTATAACCGCATTTCTGCTGATCTAAGTATTTGGTGATGAATAAATAAAATTAATCACAGAATAAAAAAAAAACATTTTGTCTGGATTTTTAGCTGCAAATCTATGTGGAATACATGATCTGATAATACGTTCACTAGAAATTGTGTGTTTGGGCTCTTATAAACTTGTAAATATTGTACTTCAGTACTTTTTATTAACGCTTTTAATACGTATTTCAATATTGTTTGGAATTTTGTAAGTTCTTTAGTTCGCGTGTGATAATCATGTTTCATGTTGCTTTCTTTAGATAGACATCAGCTATTTGCGTTTTTATACGAAAATAACATGGCTTGCAATTTTTTTTTCCGAAACTCACTAATTTCAGTTTTTGGAAAATTAAAAATTTTCATTAAGTCATTCATGTTCATAGTTTGCAAGACATTCATTTATAGTTTGATATAAAGTTGTAAATTCTCCAAAAAGAACTAGTTTCGTATGCTGAAAATTGATCCAATACTCAAGTGCATCTATGAAAAAGATTAAGAAGTTTAAAAATTTCGAATTTTTAAAACCTGAGCTTTTATACTCGATTTGTAAGCAAACCAAACTCATATCATTTCAAATAATAATTAACATCATGGAATTCAAATGACTAACAATCTCAAAATTCAGAAAAAAAACAGTGGCATGTCATTTACAGCAAATAGCAGCGGTGGTAGCGGCCACAATAGCAGCAGCAGGCCGACACACAGACGCAAGAAAAGCAATGATCTGGAGTGGATTAGTAAATACCAGAACTCAGATCACCACGAAGATAGAAGGAGAGGGAGCATTCCGGATGCTGCCCAAGTTGTTTCCGTTTATTTATTTGTTTGTCTGTCTGTCTTTGTTCGTTTGTTCGTTTGCTTGCTTGTTTGTCTGTCTGTTTATTTGTTTGTTTATTCACACACACACACACACAGCAAGGTGCATATTATTTATGTCATTTCACTGTTTCCTATTTTTAATCTGCTCATCTCTTTTCAAATGTTTTATCCAATAACTTTATCTAAATTTTCTCATCTACATGTTTCACGACCACATGATCAATTCGTAATAATAAACATAATTATATACATAAGTATGAGTATGAGTATATATGTTAGAATAAATAGATAAATATATACTTATAATTGTTGTTGCATATACAGAATCATATTTACATATATGGTTTCGCAAATTTTTAAAAGTTGGAATATGCTGAACGTAAAAAAAGTCTTTGGAAATATTTATAAGCCAATTAAGCGCAAACAAGTCTACGCAATTACGTAAACGAACACGGAAGCAAATAAAAAAATTTAACTTTTCGTCGCTACTTACTGCAATGCAGATTGCAGTTCTTCACTGAACATAACATGTCTGTTTTGGAGTCTAGTTTAGGTTATACATCTAATCTGTTTACATAATATGTTTATATGTCTGTGTGTGTGTATGCGTGTGTGTGTGTGTGTGTGTGTGTGTGAGTGTATAATTAATTTTGTGTAACTCTAAATAACCTATGTGTTTAGAATGTGTTTAGGCATTTACCTGACTTTGAGTGAGTGCATGCTCTCGTTCGGTTTGCATGTGTGTTTATAAATGTGCAAAAGTGCGTGTGTATGCGTGCGTGTGTGTGCGTGTGTGTGTGTGTGTGTGTGTGTGTGTTTTGTACAGTTACACATCTCAATTTAACTTGAATGATGCATCTATACTTATTGCATTAGAATTCTGGAACGTGGGCGTATATGGAATTTGCGTGTTACATGTTATACTCTTCCATTGAGATGAATTATGTTGTTTATCAGGGGAAATGTTATCACTCAATGAACATTTCATCGTTCTTTCATCCTCCTAACATTAGCACGAGCGTGGTATGCCTTTCGCTCTCGTAAACAATTTCGAATGAACGTTTTGTAACCTATTTGGGGTAGTATCGGTTGCGGTTCGATTTTCAACAAATTTATTTAGTTTATTATTTAGTTTATTTATTATTGTATGATGGCAATGATTAACAAAAAATAGCATTTGAATCACAACTGAATAGTTAATTGTGAGATTTCTTTACAACAGTACAGCAAACCTCCGAAATCTTCATCCAAATTTCGACCGACATCAACGGCCAGCAGCAACTTCAATGATTACCAGCCAGAAGCAGCAGCACTGACCAACCTTCCTCCTATTTACAGATCAACATCCAAGCCACAACTCAACATCAACTCTTTCAACAACGCACCGGCAACTACAAACAGGCCTAGCCAACAACAAATATTCGGTAGAACTCGTTCGAATTCAATTGCATACACACCTAGCTTCAATTCTCAACAGTACACAATCAACAACTACAACAACAACAACAACAACAGTTACTACACCAACAAGCGCAACAGTCTTAATGTCAACAACATCAGTAATGGGTTTTCTTATCGCAGATCCAACAGCGTGCAAATGTTGCCCCAAACGAAAAGGTTTTCCACAATTGTTGAAAATGGACCGGCAGCACGTTTCAGTGTGGCTGACGCCATGCAAGGCAGGCAGAGCGCAATCATTAAGAACGTGGAACCCTTCAGACGCTACAGCTACAACCCGCTGGGCAGCTACGACAACCTCGACAACTCTCACAACGCTCTCTATAGCAGAAGATACTCCGTGACCAACCAGCAGAGCAACCCCCAGACCACAGCACCATCATCATATTTTCTGGCACCGACAACAACAAACAGCGCATTTAGCGTTTACAAACGAGCTTTGAGCGTGCCAGTAGGAGCCACAAGGTACGAAAGAGAACCGTCAGTCGCTAAATATCAAACTAATTTTGAGTTCTCAAATTATAGAAACGCGCAAAATCTTAAACAAGATGCTACTCGAAGTATCGGTTATTCGGTCGGATATAACGAGTACAAAGCTCCAAGCAATGGTTATGCTGGCTTTGCAGGAAACCAGTACAACAACAACAACAACAACAAATTCAGCTACGCTGTGGCAAACTATTCTTCTAACCCCATGAATAACTACTACAACAGTCGCAATCACAGCAGCTACAACCCCAGCAGCTACAACGACCACAACTCATACAGCAACACATGCAACAAAGACAACACATACAATGGCACATACAACAACAACAACTACAACAGCAGCTCTTTGTATTCGAGTTATGCTGCTAGACAACCGACATACAGAAGTTCATACATATTTTGAGTTGACGGGTGGTTCGGGTTTCGAAGTAACCAGATTAGATCGACACGAAAACAGTTTTGAATCATTTTTTTAAACATCTGGATATTGGGTAGATACGATTATTGAAATGATTAAATGTATTACTTAGTAATAGTAACATTAGTACACGTTAATAACATTATTGCCACTGTATACTTCTATTACTTTCAAAATATTTCATTTTTTAATCTTTCAAATCTTTGTTATAAATATCAAAATTTGTTTAAAAATTTTTATTTAAAATTTTTCAAATTTCAAAATTTTATTTCAAAAAAACCTCTCATATATCTTTTATATGAGAAATTTTTAATGACGAGTTTGTTAGGATTGACGACAGAACGGGCATGATAGACTGTTTATGCGAACCTAAGACTACACTCTAATAACCTTTTTATCACCACATTCATTAGAATTATTTTTGGATTTTTCAGTGAAAAACATTTTTTTAAAAGTTTCAAAAGTTGTACATAAAGTTGAAACTGTTTTCTTTTCTAACTTTTTTCCTTATCTAGCTTACAGCATTTTAGGGCAACGAACTTAAAACGTTTGATCGTCATGATCTCATATATGTAAAGTGAAGAAATAACAACAACTGCTTGCTATTCAGTTTTCTTTTTCTTTGCCTTGAAGATTTCAAAAGATAACGATGATCTTTGAAGAAGAAAATGATGCTGGCAATTAATATTGTTAATCACACGTACTTTGATGATGATGTACATAGACGAGGATGATTTATAACGTATGTGTGTTATAACTCTAATGCTGTTACTGATGGTAAAATGTACACTTTGTGTTCAATGTCTTGGAAAAACAAAAAAGCAACAATGTGTGATGTGTGGCGGTATGAATATGAACAAAACAAATGTTAGGATTATAATTTGAGAAAAAAAAATTTAATTAAAAGAGAAAATATTACTATGTGATGACTTTTGAAAGATGAATGAATGTCTGTTAGGCTTTTATTCGTTGCAATGATTCTGGACTATATTTGTGATTGCTTCTCTTTGTGCTTTTGTCGTGTTGTGTGTGCTAAAGATAGAAGAGTGATTGTAATGTGATACCAAAGTGCCAAACAATTTTTTTCAAAATTTTAATAATTTCTCTTCAACTACGCTTTCGATCACGACATCACGACAGAAAGTTCTTCGCTTTTGCATTGTAATGTTTATCACTTATTAATTATTTTCATTGATTTTTAATGTTGTTAACGGTTTTTTTTTGGTTTTTATTTTAGCTCGGAAATAATGAAAATATCAAATTGTATTATCACACGGATTACTAGATATCTGTAATTCCAAAATAAATTTCTTATTCTCAAGGCTTTGCCTGTTGTAGCTACATTCCAACACACAAAAATAATACGAGGTTCTATTTAGAGAATTCATTCAGAATCATTCACACATTACAGGATATGATGCGAGCCAATTCATTAAAGCAAATACCAATAGAATAATAATATTGAAATATATTAAAGTAATTAAATTATGAATAAAGAAAATTAAAATTGAAATAAAATAAAAATATATTGTTAATTTGTAATGAAAGGTACAGAGTTCGTAGCACTAGCAGATTTATTTCAATATTTTCATATTCAAACTTATCTTAGCCTATTTTGATCAAGCAAAGTCTTTAGAAATAAAGTATTCTCTAGCGTAAGATTATATTCTCTTCTATTTATCCAGCACATATAGTTTACGATGGATGTTGGTGATGATTTACATGTGTGTCATTGTTTTGTTTTTTTTTTGTGATAAAGTTGACAAAGTATTTTTGATGGTTAGCATGCAGTTTGTGCTCCCAGAATGAAAAAATTGTTCTAATGGTTAAAGACAGGTTGAGGTAAAAAATCACGCCAGTTGGCAATGAGACTCGTACGGATTTCAATCGAAATGACCATTCAAATTTAATTTCACGATTTGTCTCTAGTGAAATAAATCTATATTTCGACCATAATTTTACAAAAATTTCAACATTTCACTCGCGAGAGCTTTAAAACAAAGTCTACACAGACTAGGAAGGGAGAAGAAAACGCATTCATTTGAATCATCATCTGCCTTTGGGGTATGTTCTTCTGCAGAAGAAAGCAAACAATTTCCACGTTGTTAGTACATCAATCAAATCCTGTTACATCTCTACACGTTAACAAGGAAGAACTGATGAGCGTTTAATATTATTATGTTACTTTTTGTAGATGCTTTCATCAAATTGTTTTAAAATCGTAACCATCCTGAAGCAATCCAAAAAATTATTCATATATTATATATTTATTGATCTATTTATTGCAGCAGCCTACAAATAAGTAGTAAGGTGCACTTAAAAAAAATTGTTCAATCATGAAACAAATTTTCCTTATCAAGGAAAACTTTAATACCGAGTACACCTCATACCAGATAATCTTTTGTTTCTTCTATTATCTCCGCCCATTACATACATTGAATGTAGATACTGTGATTTCTTTGTGTTCATTGTTCACATGCGTTGTGTGTGTGTGTGTGTGTGTGTGATGTGTGTGTGTGTGTGTGTTTGTGTGAGTTCGTGAGATATATTTATAAGAATTATTAATATTATTAATAATTGTTCAAAAAGAAATAAAAATTGTTTGAGCAGAATGTTTTATTGTCTAGTAAAGATCAGTAAATTTGATAAGTGTTAATTTATCTGTCTGCCTTGTTTATAAACACTATGCGTTCACTGCCTTTAAATCAAAGAAAATGAAAATGGTCAACATAAACTTTGCCTGTACATTATTAAAGTTGTATTAAAAAAGATATAACCTCCCATTATAATATGAATTGGATTAATTTAAGGTTAAAAAAATTACATTATTTTACTACTAATACAGAAAATTTCTTTTTGATAATTTTTGATAAATTCTTTTTATGTTCAAAATTTAACAACGTGATTGTTTTTTAAGACATGGTCTACATTTTTAAAAAATATACACACACATAAGACCATAATCATCATCACACATTATCATCATCATCATCATTTACTTCTTTTTCTTCCTCTTCCTCTTCCTCTTCCTCTTCTTCTTCTTCTTCTTCTTTTTCTCCTTCTTCCTCATCATCACATCATTATAGTTAGACTAATCTCATTAGCTCAGTTCTTTTGAACAAGAAAATAATACATCCATATACAATTATTATTCTATGATTTATTTCATCATTCTATGTGAGTCAAAAAACCTTGAGATGCATTCCAAACGATAATGTGTGGAACGTCTCATAAACTCAACTGATAAAAATGAATTTTAATAGAATAATATTCCAAGATATTTATTTTTGCTGTCATAGATTTTTCTTTTATTAACTCTTAATTGTGAATCTGAAATTAATTAAAAGAACAAAAAGAATAAATAAATGAATAATATTTTTATTTATGTTTGTTTTAATAATTTACACAAGCTGGGAGGTGTTGCATTAATTATTAATTAGGATTTTTCTTTGAAAAAAGTTCTCTAAAAATAATTTGTTTGCGATTTTTTCATGCCGATAATGAAGAGATATGCATGGTGTGTGAATTTTGGTCTGTCTGTTATATTCATCTCCTCTCTTCTCAACATCATCACTCTCATCCTCGTCATTATTGCCATCATCATCATCATCATCATCATCATCCTTATCAGCATCATCATCATCGCCATCATCACTCTCATCCTCGTCATCATCATCATCGCCATCATCATCATCATCATTGTCAGCTTCATCATCATCTTCTTCTTAATCATCACCATCAATTTCGTCATCGTCGTCGTCGTCAACGTTATTATTTTTATTATTATTATTATTGATATTATTATTATTATTGTTGTTATACATCTGTCATTTTTTTACATCAATCAAACTGGAATGTCTGCACAACCATTCCTTCCAAGTACGAACGAACGGGTGTGATTTTTCAGCCCAGCAAGCAACTCATTTATGTAGATTGACTAACAACCTCATTCAATCCGGTACTTAATAATCTCCTACAAATCCTAAACAAAACAACGACATCATGATAAACCGCAGCAAATTGAAGTCCACTCCAGCCACGATATTTTCCCAAACTTCGATCTCCAAACAATTTGCATACAGCCACCAAAAGACTACTACCTTGCAAAACTTCAGTAGGAAAGAACAAGAAAAGATAAACTAATGCATTCACCTGAGCAATAGCAAACAAATGTGATTTAAAATTCCCAAAGCGTTCTCGTTAATTCCAACCTTCATTCCATTCAACTGGACACACTCCTCGCGGGTGCATATCTTTAAATACACTTCTAACACTTTAAATCAGTCGATCGCCATTCACACAAACAAATCCACACAGAGCAGGAAAAAAACATAAAATCTTATAAACTCCACAAATAAATAAACATACAAACACAAATTTTAAGGCATGATACATACAAACCAACGTACAGATCAAAAACGAAACGCGGGTACGTTAACACCAACATCTATCTATGCAAAGAGACCAGACAAGCAATCATACAAATTGGAACTAACATTACAACACATGGTATACAACACAATCCAACACACACGTACTCACAGAAACACTAACACACACAAACATTATACACGATATGTACATGCAATATACTGAATTTTATTCTATATCTACACGACCACAACAAAACATAAACGTTGGTGAACCAGCACAGAGTAGCAAGGTTTGTTACTACCTAGACCCATAGAAAGTGGGATGTGGCAAGAGAAAGAGAGAGAGAGAGAGAGAGAGAGAGAGAGAGAGAGAGAGAAAGAGAGAGGCGGTGGATGAAAAAGATGGAAAAAATCGTTTCAATGCGACAGATGGTGCTGCTAATTTATTGTTATTGTTGTTTGGCGTGTGCAAAGTTATCTCTCTCCCTCTCTCTCTCCCTCTCTCTCTCTCTTTTTTATCTCTCTGTCTGTCTGTCTTTTTCTTTTTCTCTGTGTGCATGTCTACCGTAACGCCGATGTATGCATTAGTTATGTTTGTACCAGTTGGTGCGA